TCCTCTCCGACTCCAGCATTCGCCTCGCTTCGGGGCCCGTCGTGGGGTGGGTGCCGGTTGGAGTCAGCAGTGACGGAGGGCAGCATAGCGGACGCAGCAAGGAGCTGTTTCAGACGGCCCCTCTTGCTCTGGGGAGGGGGGAGCAAACAGCACGCAGAGGGCCCGTGCCCCCAGGCAGGGCCAGAGCGATCGAGCCCTGCGTACAGGCGTCAAGGCAAAGTGCAGCAGGGCCAGGGACAAGGTGCACTTGGCTCACGGCTCGGCTCTCGGTTGCTCCAGGCAGCTATCGCTCTCCAGGCAGGGAGATGTGGGGGGTTTCAGTGCTCAGGACCCTGCTCCTCTAGGCCCTGGAGCATTTCTCCCCGAGTTTTCCAGGAGCAGCACCATGGAGGTGCAAAACCCCAGCACTTGTAGGGTCCCCGTGGGGCTGGATATTCAGTGCTTTATAGTCCCTTTGGCAGTTCCCAGCAGCTGTCTGTCAGCCTGGGGCTCCTTCAGTCTAGAGAGCCAAAATCTTGTCTGCTGTGGGGGGGTTCACCCCACCTCACCCCTTGCTCCCAAAGCCCTGGTCTCCAGCACAGAGGGCTGAGTTGCTCCCAGCGAAATTTTGGCTTTGGGAGCCCAGCAAGAGATGTGTGGAGGATGCGTGGTAAGGGCCATCACTCGCTCTCCCCGCAGGAAGCGAAGGGCAGCATGGCGAAGAGGGTCGCGATCATCGGAGGGGGGAGCAGCGGGCTGTGCGCCATCAAAGCCTGCCTGCAAGAGGGGCTGGTGCCCGTCTGCTTCGAGAGGTCTGGGGACATCGGAGGCCTGTGGAGGTTTGAGGTAATTTGCGCTGGTCACAAGGCACGAGCACTGTTGCCGCTGGCTGTACGGTAGCCAGGGAACGAACCGGTGGCCAGCACGGCTGCGCAAACCCAGTCACGCGTGGTCCCCAAGGTGGATGCTGCAGGCAGGGGCTCCATGCAAAGGGGCTTCACATCAGCCCTGCGTCCTGATGCCTCTCTGGGGCCAGGCATCCCGGAGACCTTCCCTTGCAGCAGCCGTGATCCCTTCTTGGGAGCATCCCGAGACCCTGTGACTCCTCCATTTGATGGGACCCCTGACTGCCATCCCCGCCCCGTCCCCCTCATCAGCACACCCACCCATCCCGCAGGAGCACCCCGATGAGGGCCGCGCCAGCATCTACAAGTCCGTCATCATCAACACCTCCAAGGAGATGATGTGCTTCAGCGACTTCCCCATCCCCGACGACTTCCCCAACTACATGCACAACTCCAAGATCATGGAGTACTTCCGCATGTACGCCCAGCACTTCGACCTGCTCCGATACATCCGCTTCAGGGTGAGCACCGCGGGGCCGGGGGGTGCAGGGTGCCCTGGGCAGGCTGGGCGCAACCTGACGCCCGCTCCGCCTTGGCCGTCACCGGCCAGTGGGACGTGGTCACCGAGAGCGGTGGGGAGCAGGAGTCGGCCGTCTTCGACGCTGTGCTGGTGTGCACCGGGCACCACACCAACGCGCACCTCCCGCTGCACACCTTCCCAGGTACGCTGCGCTGGCTCCCCTGGGCCCAGCTGTTTCCAGCTGTGAGAAGAGACCCCCTGAAAGCTCTGCTGCTGCAGTCTCTAATGTCGCTGCTGCTCCTTTGCTCTCATGGCTCCATGCATTTCTCTGCTCACACGCTCCCTGGGACCCACCCAGCCAGGCCAGAAGGGCTCCACCAGTCAGTGCCGCAGGGACAGCACCAACCAGGGGCTGTGAGCCCCACTGTGCCGCAGCCCCGAGGTCACAGCATTTGTCCTGCCTCATTTTTTCGAGAGGTGACCTTCTAGTCCAGTGCCAGAAAGCAAAGCACCCCTCCTCCCTCCCCACAGGAATCGAGAAGTTCAAGGGCCGCTACCTCCACAGCCGAGACTATAAGGACCCCCAGGCTTTCAAGGACAAGAGGGTCATCGTCATCGGGATTGGGAATTCGGGGTCGGACCTGGCTGTGGAGATCAGCCAAACGGCCAAGCAGGTGAGGACCAGAGGGGGATCCCCACAGGCAGTTAGCTCCCCATGCCCAGCAGACTGTCTCCGCATGGGACACTCACAGGCTTGGACAAGGCCTCTCCTGGAAATGTCTGGGATGGGGCACTCTAGCCTTTGGGTCTCCGAGACTGTTGAGGCTGTGGAAAGAGGAGCAATTGTATGGAGAAGCTGTATCCCCTCTGAGGGAGCCCTTGGGTGCCCCCTTGACTGTCACAGTATAAAGACATGACTTTTTCTCACTCACCCAGGTCTTCCTCAGCACCCGCCGGGGTGCATGGATCCTCAACCGTGTTGGAGACCAGGGGTACCCCATTGACATCATCCTCACCACCCGCATGAAGACCTTCCTCTCGAAGCTGCTGACCCCGTCCATGGTGAGCGACTGGGCAGAGAAGCGGCTGAACGAGAGATTTGACCACTCGCATTACGGCCTGAAGCCAAAGCACAGGTGCCTGCAAACACTCCCCTTTGCCCAGGAGAAGAGACCCCCTGGCTCCCCCTTCATCCAGACCAGTTCAGGTGGAGGGATGATGTCCTAGGCATTTCCATGCTCCCTATATCCATCCTGGGGTCAAGTACTGACCCAGGAAACCCAGCTAATATTTCTGTTATCCCCTGCCAGTGATCAAGGGACCTGCTTCTGCCTCTCCCCACGGTGCTACCAGAGCAGTGGCAGCTGATGAGCATCCTTGGGACCAAGCAACCTTGAGAGCCAGCACCAGGCACTGGGCACCTGAGCGGGGAGTAGTGGACAGAGGCAGGACACTGTGCAGACCCTCCATCACCCTGATGGCTCCTTGTGCTCTTCCAGGATCCTCCACCAGC